ACTTGGCTGGAACTCACTTTTATTTGCCTGGCCGTTTCCACCACCTCGGCCGCCATGTCAACAAACTTAGCCAACGGCTCGAAATTTCAACACTTTCTAAATTTTCTCCGTGTCTCATTTCTAATCTGCCTCCTCACAAGGCTCAGCTTTTCTTTAGCGCTCCATGCTCAGCTGTGCTCCCGACTAAAGTCCCATTACCGTTTACATTACGGCGCCCTCAGTAAGTTTGATGCAGTCCAATCTACAAAGCCAGCCAGTAGTTAGACATGCTAGGAGGCGATCCCCAGATGCACCACCGCAAGGCCGTAATATTTCCGTAAACTGTACAGAGCACTGCGTTTTGAACTGAAATTTGTTTGAGTGTATCAAATGTGGTTTTGCTACCGGTCAGAAAAATGGCATCATTTTTGAAAGTCTTGTGGTACACAAAAGCACGTTTTCACCCCTGCATTTTTAGAGCGAATGGCAACCTATCTACAGACGAAAAGATTTTCCTTGATAATGTTTCCTTGTCATGATATATCAGATGAGATTCCTCTGTAAAACACTACGTCAATATTGTTAGCTGTGTGCTCGGGGTCCTTTAGGAGAAATATCAAAAAATCGATTTAAAGATTAAAATTATTTACATACTTACCCCTTCAACCCATGCAATCGGGAAGTAGTAAGGACCAGCCATATTTTTGTATCGTTCGCTGAAAATGAAGCATGCAGAATCAGCAATGAATGTCCTGAAATGTCAACATAAAAGTGCAATGTCAAACTGAACGTTTATTCCTTGTTTGAAACGAATTTAACCATTACCATGATATTTTGATCTCTCATTTCTGCCCAGTGTTCCGAATGTTTTTATCGTTAAATTTACACTACTAAACACGCTTTCAGCAGTAAACTTTCATCAAAGATATGGGCTGATAACCGTTTCGATTGGTTGATTTGACCTATATGGGTGTCGCCGCACGCCTGTGATGCACATTCGCTATAGCTCCCTGAACTACACCCCTGTCCCTGCTTAGGGGATTCAGTGAACACTGCCACCCCATTCGGGGAAAACCTGGGCAGCCGCCCATTCTACAACGACCACGAACTCGTGCGCTAGTCAAGCGGTTAGCGTTCGAATCTCGGAAGCAAATTCCTCTGATGAGAAAACATTCATTAAGTACAAATGCCACCGAACAAAGCGTGTAGTGAAGGGTAGTTGGGAACCTACAGGACGCGTCCACTTAATTACCAAATTAGGGTTTTCGATTGTCGGGTCCTATCAGGATATATTCGGCCGCTTTTTCTATTGTGTCCCTGATACCACGAGCGTCAGTTTTCATTAGAACGTCCCGGAGTTGTTTCATTAGCGGCACTCACATCTGATAGGTCAGCTAATTTGACGTTAGTTTGCGAAATGTGAATGTGCTACTCTTAATTTTACTAGTGGTGCATAAGTATTTACCTTAAGATTTTCACACCCCTCGAAGGTTTTGGTAATAGCATCACTATTGCAATTACACTCCCGACAGATTTATGTTATCCACATTCGACAGATGATATCTGGTTATAGGTCGCTGAAACTTCACCCACTGGGTACCTTAAGTCTTCTTTGGCATTTCATATCCCTGTCTGGCTTACGAGTATGGAAGAGAAATAGTCTGTGGTTCGATTCCATGGAGAGCCTTCAAGGTGTACCTCGTGCACATACGCAGAGGAAATGTACTTTAAAGTTGTAAACGATAGCGAACAGACGTCGACTTGTAAATTAAAGAACTTATACATCCCTCGTTCACCTAACTGGTTACCCTGGTTGATAAGTTCAACAAACGTCACTATCTGCCCCTTGGCGGGGCTAGACTCCCTGAGATTCCCCGGAAGGCGAAAAATCTTCTCGGGAGATGGTTCATCCCCGAAAGTCGTTTGCTTATGGATAGCTTGCTCCAAGACGAATTAAACCAGCTTGTTTTTAGTCTAGCCGAATTAGTCCGTGGAGCCTGACAAAGCGAAAACAACTGATGGGTGCGTTGCTGAGGGGTATGAGTAATAGATATTGTTGCTCATCCACTGGTATTGTTTGAAAATGAGCGCAAAATTCTAGCCCAAACGTCAAGAACTTTCCGCAATTTGCGATGGGAATTTCATCACACAGTAACGAACGATCTGATGGTCTTCGGCGAGGAACTAGATAAGGAAATTTGAAAAAAAAAAACAGTCGAAAGATGTTCAGATTCTTTTTAGGAAAAAACATAAGCCAGGTGTCAGGTATTCTGGTATCATTTATTATACCAGGGTAAAATATAAGACCTACTCATTTTCCAGAAAAACACTCATTTGCAAATCAATTTGGTTTTCACGGGAGACTCAATTGAATCTCTCGTTTATGTTCAATTGAGTCTCCCATGGAAACCAAATTTATTTGCAAACAAGTGTATTTCTCGAAAACAGTGCAACTTGGGTTCAAGTAGATCATAAGGTTGACGGAAACTCGGGGACTGCGCCTACTTACTGATCCCCAAGTAGGGCGAGACCTGTTCGAAGAGTTTCAGCAACCTTGTGAGTAGTTTCCTTTATGAAGACTTACTCATGCTTGTTTGCCATAAACAGATTGAGTTGGAATCGCACGTAGGCTTCCAGTACAATTCCAGTATTCTTGACAAGGAGAAAACCAGAGGCAGCAAGAAAGATGCGTTAAAATGGGTTAAAAGCCAATTTTATGGGGATATATTTTGATGTTGCTACGCATGGTGCGTTCTCTACAGAAATACCGAGCTACAAGAAGTATCGCACATACAGTTTAAAGTTAATAATGCAAACAAACAGCTGCCCCTTCGACTTACAACTTGCATTCCACCCGGGGGGCACACAAGAACTGAGATACTGTCAGGTGACCCAAGCCTAGATTGAGGCATTTGAGTTGCTGGGGTTGGGTTCGAACCACGGAAGTGCTACCTAAATTACTGAGTCGTTTCAAGCTCAGGGATAAAAACAGTTAAAGGTTAATCATTGGAATAAACCAATAGAAGCGAAGCAATGAGTCTGGATAAAGAAAAGTCAAACTGGCAATTGCAAGTTGATAATAAATGAATATCTTGGAGTCGTAGAGATTAGTGTGAGGAACTCGTACAAACCGCATTCCAGAATCAAACTGAAACAGAGAGTCCTGACTCGTAAAAGTGTTTTTACACTCCCGCCTCATCTCCTGAGTATGACAGTCCAAATGGTGCCTATGTGAGACCGTGGGGACCGACGTACTAAATTTGGGAAGTTGGACGGAAGTTTGTTTGCTTACACGCGGTCCCTGCAGACCGATCTTTCCTGTTCATGATGGAATAGAAAGCTACTTACTTTGGCTGTCTGTCAAGGGATATCTTGGTCACAAGCCATCTGATGACTTCTCGTTACTACGTGTCCCTGTTGTGTCTTGGTGAACGGTAGTGCCATTCTGTATCGGTCCCTTGGTTTCCCGCTTCGCCCACTATGGCATATCAAGAGACACGGTCGCTCTACACAGCCCCTCTATGGGGACAAAGGAAAAAAATTACAACTGTATTTATAGGGTATTCACAGAGTGTTCCACAAAGTCGTTGCAGAGAGTTGTCGAGTCAAAGATGCTCCACTCTGATTGGCTGGCATTCTGACCAATCAGGGCTTGACTCCGTTTAGTCCGTCCGTCCAAATGATGTGACGTTCGGTTATTAGGGGCGGCCGGCTTCCGGACGATTCCTGACGTCATTCTGTCGTTGTTCCCCGAGCAACTGCTGCCTCATTCTACGGTACTTGTATTATAGCTTTTGATCCGAGCTTTACTACGAGTTTTCGTCTGTTCTGTTCTGTTCCTCATCTCAGTGTGTGGAACACTGGGAACGACAAAACACCAGAAATAGTTGAGACCAAAATGATTCTTTATCCTACATGAAGGCATTGGAAGACATTCGACTCTCGAGTACAAACAACGGGTTTAGGTCTGCATTGCCAGCAGAGAACATGCAACAGTAACTCTGCGGAAAAATTTGCACACAAAGATAGGTATCGAAGGAACATAGTGGCTGCTTTGTTGTGTTGATTCTGCGATGTACTGCGTCTAGAAGATTTCTCAAAATGGACTCAGGGTACAACATGAGAAGCGCGGAAATCAATAAACCACAAATATGCGTCCCCAATGCGACTGCAAAACACAGGAGAATCTTCCGTGGAACACCTGGCTCGTTGCACACTAGTCTATCTGTCAGCTGGTGGTTAGAAAGTTCTCGATGTTTCCCTTCTGTAAACTCTCGTGAATACCATGGGGACAAATGGACTGTATGATTCATTTGTCTACAAGTAGTTCATCACGTGAGTGTGATGACAAATAGTGTCAGTTGGCAGGAACTCTGGGCGGTCAGTTTGTCCTATGCAATGAACCATAGTGAATTTCCGTCAACATTATCCACAGTCCACCCAGGTATTAATTGCTTTCGTTACTCGGTTTAGTTGTCCGATGAAACAGTCTTACGAAAGTTTTCCCGTACTTGAGGGTTGGCTCGAAACGTCACACTTGTTGTACCTTCTTATTACCGTGAACCCCGGTCTGGATAGCCGATTGATAGCCTGGTGTGCTTGGCCAAACCAGAAAAAGTCGATGAACGCGCGAACCGGCTGATCTATTGATTACTTTCGGTCAAAAAAGTGATACGAATAATACAGCTCATCTGTCAAGGGCGAGTGAATATTGGCCAATCAAATCTGTCTCAACGAAAAACGGCTATCCCATTGGCTAATATGTAGTCCCGTTACGTTCGGAGCTCGTTCTCCCAGTAACACCGTAACTAGGGTGTCCTTCGTCTGAAGGGAAACAATCAAGTAAACACAATGTGCAAACTAACAGCTCTGCGTTCAAGGGATACACAATTCTCGCCATACTGAGAAGTGAGAGTGCGAAGCAAGGTTCCTAGATGGAACACAAAGGTCTTCCAGTATTTGTGGGGAACATAAAATAGCTTTAAAACAAAACGCTTGCACCACAGCTAACACCAACTCACGGGTTCCACAAGCAAATGAATTCCGTGTTTTTCTTTACTGGGTTTGGGCAGACCTTCAAATCGCGCGGAGATGCGTGGATCCGCGTCCATGAAATGGGGAAATGACACGTAGACAGGGACGGTAACTCCACGCTTAGCAATACATGGCTGCATCGCCAAGATACCTTGAGGTGTACAGGCTTTGTCTTCTTGACAGTACATCCGATTGTTCCAGTGCTTTGTCGAGTCCAAATCGGCAGCTTCTGGGGCGACGAATTTCATGAGCTGAGAGAAGAGATTTGGAAACAGACGTCCACTGGTTATACTGGGCGCGACACCATTCATCAGTTTAATCAACTCTTGGTTTGTGACCGAAAGGTTGACTTGCAATTTGAGTATGCTTTGTGACTCATCTTCAGGCGGCAACTCATGAGAGACCATTGCAACTGGGTGGATGCATGCGAACGAATATTACAACGAACGAATCACACCCTTTGGCAAGTTTTCAATGAGACACTCAAATGAATCTCTCGTGTATGATATTTCTCCTAGCTTAATGTTTTTTTCAAAGCCCGTCCGAGTTCAATTTTCGACATGTGGTCGCATTGATTGATGACGGAACATACTACTTATATGGCCCCCGAAAACCTATCGACTGCAGATTTTGCACTTCTTGGGGTCTGTAATTTTGCTCACGGTCCCCGTGTTTCCGTCAACCTTATGCCCTTAGTAGGCAACATATTTTGCGCTTTTGAATATGCACACTTAATGGGCACCGCAAAGGAAGAAGGCCTTCGCTAAGGATTTGTTTATCAGAAAACACCAACTGAACAGTTACAGACTATTGGACAGGGGAGCAAAACTCTCATATGCATCTTGTTTACACAAACTGAATATCCATCTTCTCCTTGAACGTATATTCCTAAACTTTCCTGGATATTCATTGGCTGATGCTCAAATGCAAGCTAATGCTGCGAAGCGACTCCACCAGTTCCGTAATAGATCTCACTTTTCAAGAGACGCGAAGCGGATTTACGAGAAAACACGCTACTCGCTTGCCTCATCAGTAGTATCTACCTTACACGGGCATTAAATGTTGTAATTCGCCTTTATAATCCCGATCTGTGCGTAAAAAGCAATTTGTCTAAAGCGTATTTTTATCCTGGCCTAAGCATTATCAAGTGCCCGAGTAAGTTTCCAGCCCAAAAGCCGAAGACTTAAATTGAGTCACGTGACCTTCGCTATCCGGTAAGTCCGTCAAACTGATCCAAACGAGACTGATCAGGATCAATTAGAGCTTAGTTCTTCGTGTGTTTGAAAGAGTTGGTCGGTTGTTACTCAATTGTTTGAGTTTGATCTGCCGTCGTTCACTAAATTCCCAGGATCTGCATCATCTTTCTGCTCAAAATTACTGTTCCAGATTAATTTTATGCTAGCACTATATAATATAGTAGTGAGTAGTAGGATATAGTAGTATATAGTAGTATATAATATAATAGTATAGTAGTACATAGGTTCGTATTCGTGGCGTTCCTAATGTGTCTAAAGGTTTCTTGGTGGGAGGGCTCTTGCCAACATTCTCACCAATCTTTACTGTATACTTCATTGTTTATTCCCATTTAACCATTAAATGTGTAGCCACCTTGAAGGAGGGATCATTTTGATGGATGCGTGAAACTTCCTTCTGAGAGGTCATCGCCCGACGAATCAATCAATATGCGAACACGTGATGTGGCTTCCGTTACTAAAGGAAAAGTCACGCTATATCTTTGTATTGTGCTACTAATAAGGTTGCTGAAAATCCGTCGGCCTTATGAGTAGTACAGTACAAAGATATACATGTATCGCAATATCTCAAATATCGTAGCGACTGAAACCTGAGGCGGCCTGGTGCAGCACATTCAGTTGCCTGAGAACATCCCAAACGAGAGATTCAGCTGGGTTCCAGGTGAGCCTCTCGAAAAACCAAATTAGTTTGCAAATGAGTGTATATTAGCTAATCACGCTATATCTTCCCCAAATGCGAACGAACCACTCTGTTGATTGGTCGCTCGTGACACACTCAACCACTGTTTGGAAAGTTTAGAGTTTGAAACTCTGAGTTTTGTGAGATGGGCACAGTTGATGATGAAGCAGAGCTTATAATTTTTTTCAGCACCTTCACTGACAAAATGAAATATCTATTGAAGATATGAAGTGACTTGACGGCCAGATAATGAGAAAATCAATGATCACCACTCAGAAACCTCCGAATCGCCAGCTAGTGTTTTAAATAGACCAATCAAACAGCAAGAATGGGTGTCCGACCCCAAAAAATACATATTGTTAATTTTCTCCGTAATTCCCGTGGGTGCAAAAGCCAGACAGCACAAACGAAAGTTTGACTGTACAGGATCCCATATATCACTGTTACCTTTCCCGTGTAGCCCAGTATTTTTGCTCCCAATAGAACTAACTACTCATCAGTAACACTATTGATTTCCTAATGGATCCATCTGTGAACTGAATAGGGAAACTTTTTTCAGCGGGGGGACTATCTTGCCACGTAAGTGTGTTCAAGAACGCAAAAAGATCAACAAAACGCGAGAAGGCTCAAGTGTTTAGAGCGCAGACTTATTGACCGGAAGGTCCTCTGGTTCGAACCCGACCTCTGCCTCTCGACTTCCCCGGTCTATGCTTTAGTGACCTGGCAGTATCTAAACCCTCGTGCTAACTTTGAATGGCATGGTAGCTGGGCACCTGAGGGTTGCTGAACGAAATGCTGATCCAGGTTGCCCCTGATTGGAACTAATTACCTGAAAGTAATAGCAATCACCTACTTCCCGACTGTTAACTGTTGGCAAGTTTCGCAAGATAGTCTTTCAACCTCTTCCAAAGGAGCACTCTGTCATGAAAACTATATCAAGGTAGGTTTAGACTGAGATGTAAGTTTTTTCTTTTTTTTAAAAAAAAACTGACCGTTAGTTCAGGCACAAGGCTACTGGGTACCGTTTCGTTTGCAGTCAGGATCATTTTCCGGCATAATTCCGGCATTTGAAAGTCTATCGTTGAACCGAATCTCGGGTCCGGCATGACACGAATCCACTCTAAATTTGGGGAAAAACGCGCCCGCAAATGAATAAGAGAATGAAGTTGACGCGCGTGAAATTAACAATGATATGCCAAGGTTTCCTGGACTAGCTTTGGAAAATGCAGACAGTGTAAAGATCGTCTTGATTGGTGGCCAGACAAGCGATGGAGCAGGACCACAGCCACTTGATCACGTGATACGAGAAATTCACTTTGAACCTAGCTGAATCTCTCGCCTATGATGTCCTTCATCAACCGAACATGATGTGGTCCGGTGCAGCACATTCTGTAAACCAGAGATTCGGCTGGGTTCCAAGTGAGCCTCCTGCAAAACCAAATTTGTTCGCAAATGAGTGCATTTTGCTGATTCCGTGCAATTTGGTTTCAATTAGATGAAGTTGACGGAAACTCGAGGATGAGCCCCAAGAGGGGCGAACCAGATCGTGGGCTATCGACCTATTTTCAGCAACCTTATCAGTAGCGTATTACTTCTATACATGTACCAGGATATCTTCAGTATCGTAGCAAATGGAACATGAGGCGTCCTGGTGCAACACATTCAGTTGACAAAGAACATCATAAACGAGGGATTCAGCTATGTCACGGTTGAATCTCCGACAAAAACCAAATTGGTAAGCAGACGACCAGATGATCCGAATTCTATGAGATTTGGGTTCAAGTAGAACATGAGGTTGACGGGGACTGCGTCTACTTGATTAGCCCCGATAAAGGCGCAACTGGACATGGGATATCGAAGGGTTTTCAGAAACCTTATAAGTGCTGAAGCATGCTAATTTTATCCCACCGGGACATAACCGCGATGCAACTCGCTTCTACGCGGCGATATCTCTCCTTCCCAGATTTATTCGAGTTATCGACCCACTTGTGTATTTAAATTTCTCATTTTACGGCATCCATCTTCCAGGTTCTGATAAAATGACCCCGGAACAACTCAGCTATCAAAATGTTGTCCACCATTAGGCAGCGAAACTTAAACACAAAGTTGTTTTAGTAAGGAAAAAAAACAGAAAAAAACTCATGAGACTTCAAAAAACTTCTCCTTCTTTGTGGTTCATTTTACCTGGATCATTGTACCTGTTATATCTGCTGATTCATCAGTCTGTGGTATCTGCTGCCGACCCGCTCCAATGCCTAGTGCCAGAGAAAAAAGACTCAGAATGGAAATCAACCACTACATTCCGAACATGCGAGTGAGAGAGCGCGACTGCGCGCGAGTGCGAAAAGTACAACGGTCTCAGGCTATTTATTGGAAGGACACTGTCTGCACTTGGTCCAATGCTGACGCACGCGGTCTGGCCTTGGCACGAGGCTGCGACGCGCTGCATATTGCGGGGGCGTTGTCTGACCTTGACTAACGCTGACTCGCTGTCTGGGTCAGATACAAAGCTGTGAAGCGCTGCATATTTAGGGGGCGTTATCTGTCTGGTCAACATCTAGCGGCGCTGACAGTCTCGGTAGATTCCGGGCATTCAGTGGTTGGAAGCTGACCTTCTTGAAAGTAGCTCGCCACACGGTCCACAGGTCGTCTTAAAAGTGTTTGCTAGACCCGAGAACTTTGTCGCCTTTCAAACTGACTTTTGTCGGTTTTCGGGAAATTTGAATTTGGTCTCGTCTATGAGTGAACATTCATTGGTTAGATAATCAAAGTATAGAAGAATCATCCTAAAGCGTCATTATTCTCCGAACGGAAAACTCGGCCTCCTCGAGGGAATATGGACGAAATGTTTCCCTTATGGAGGAAATTTTAGCAAGCACGAAGACATCCTCTCAAGGAACAAACCTTCCTGAAATGACTCATCTTCGTTTGCGACTGCTGGGGAATCAATTGAGGCAGCATACTTTTTACTGCATACCATGAGCGCCTATTTAGTGTGCTAGAGTTGAATATCCAAGACGATATTGCGTGTACCTTGACTACAGACAGATGGGGTGTCTTGTGGAGGTTACTCCACATCACACTGAGCTGGTTCGCATCGATGAAATTTGAAAGTATCGTGGTGCGATTACACCACTTGTGTGTGTTTCACTATTGAAGGTTATTTCTTTTTTCTTTAGAAACGTAACAAGAGAGACTTTTCAAACAGGTTTGCGTCATCGGGATCCCCCCTCCAGCAACAAATCGCCCAGGGGACCCGCCCAACAGGGCCTTTACCAAGTTTAGTCTGTCAGCTTCTAGAGAATCTGTTCCTATTTCAGTTGAGCGGTTTGGTGAGAAAGGACACCTTCAATTGGAGTGAACCAAGTGATCAGAGTATAGTTTTGATCTAACTCGGTTCACAAGAAGGACCAATGAAGTGTAATGAATCCATCTATTAAAGTACACATCCAATTGGTGGATCGGATTCTCTCAGTACCTTACTCCACATCTCATAGTGTACACTGTATGTTCATTACTAATGCCCGAGTTAGAAATAGCTCAACTGTTACGGACCTGTAAAGTCCGCGGTTCTAACTCATTCCTCCTTCGATTGCTTTTAGTCACGCTTGAACTTTCTGACACTTTATCTCACCTCTTTCGGGTTGCCCGAAAGTTCCATACCGCAAGGGTAAATTTTTACTGCACGGGGAAGTAGACATGTGCTTGCGTGTGTCTTCTAACGATAAGATCCATAATAAATCGAAAACGTTTTCAACAAGAAGCACTCACGAATTCCGTCAATGCGGTCCGCTTCTTCGGCTCCCCATATTTCATGGTAACTTTTGGAAATACAGAGAAACAAAATTAGAGATATATACGAATATATACATATGCATATAGATATACATATCTATATATTCCGTGGTATTCTTATAACATATAAAACGGAGGGTACCGAACCACGGTGATCTTCTTAAGCATGCGTGGGGAAAGTTGTATACGCCTGGATGCCCTTTGAATAAAGCGATTTTGACAGATAAACCAATCGATCGATAAACGAGGACAGTCACTGGGTCGTGCTTCGAGGCATAGAGCAAACCAATCATATCGACCAAGAGTGAACAAGTTTGCCTGTTTGGACAGGAAAATTTAGATGCGTCCATTGGGTAACACGCCCCCTCGCTTTTCAGATGTCTGGAGCTCAAACCACGGCAAGGTCATTGGATATGCACTGCTCATAAGCTCTAATATGAGCGATACTTGAATCTAGTTAGCGAATGTACACTCATTTGCGAACTAATTTGGTTTTCACGAGAGACTCACCTGGAACCCAGCTGAATCTCTCGTTTGTGATGTTCTCAGGCAACTGAATGTGCTGCACCAGGCCGCCTCATGCTTCAGTCGCTACGATATTCGACGGAATTTCAGCAACCTTATGAGTAGCATATTACAAATATATACTTGAATCCAGTTTTTCTCCTTCTTGAGGTGGACTTACCAGAGTAATCCCACCAGGAGAAAATAGTGCCATTGACTACTTTAAGAACGATTTATGATGGACTACTGCTCACATGTACTGCGCTCCGAGGTTAGGTTTTGGAACTGAACTCTGCAGGGCTCCTGGACATGCTTCGACCGGTGTGAAATGCATTTCAAAAATAGTCAGACGAACAAGTCAAATCGTTATACATGTATATTCGTAATGAAATACTCATAAGGTTGCTGAAAGTTCGTGGACAACCAACGACCGGTTTCGCCCTTCTTGGGGCTCATCAGGTAGGCGCTGTCCCCGAGTTTCCCTCAACCCCATGTTCCACTTGAACCCAGATTGCACCAAATTAGCGAAATACACTTATTTGCAAACTAATTTGGTTTTGCAAGAGACTCACTTGGAACTCAGCTGAATCTCTTGTTTGTGATGTTCTCAGGCAACTGAATGTGCTGCACCAGGCCGCCTCATGTTCTTATTTATGTCTCAGCTATTAAACACGGAAATTTTCTGACAGTTTTTCTCAAGATTACGGAAAGACACATGTGAGACGGACTCCAACAGAAAAATCGGTCGTAATGATTAGGAGTACATGGGTGACAGGGAGCGTGTCTCCTCAGTAACTCTGTTGGAAAGCCACTGGTTCATGCTTCGCCTCAACCCCGGCTTGCTTTTTGTTCATACACTTGAAATACTCACTTCTCCATCTACCTAATCCACTTACCTTTCTAAAGTTAACATAGCGTTTATTAGGAGTACCAGCTCCGAACGCAACGGAGCTACATAACAGCCAATGAAATAACCGTTTCCGTTGAGGGACAGATTTCATTGGTTGTTCTTCGCTCGCCCTTGACAGATGAGTTGTAGTCTCAGTATCACTTTTTTGACCCGCTTATACGCGACAGTGATCAATGGATCAGCCGGTTCGCACGTTCATCGAATTTTTCTGATTTGGTCAAGCGCATCAGGCTATCGATCGGCTATCCAGACCGGGGTTCACGGCAATAAGAAGGCATTAAGTGGACTGTGGTTCAAAATAGTGTTATTGTTTACGGGTGGGGTGTGGAATCAGTTGCGCCCAACTATGGATAATAGACTAGGACATTAAAGGAGTTTATCGGTAGATCTCAGAGAGTTTTATTCAGAAAGTGCGCACATTAAGAACATGTGAATCTAGACGGGAATATTTCCTTGCACATTTCAGGTTAAATTAGTATGTGAAACCGCGACAAAGACCAACGTTTGAACCAACTAATCAGCTTGAACAGCAACCCATCGTCAACAAGACTCGGTAATGATTTGTGCTTATGGCAGGGCGAATCCTAACTGGAATCAGAGTTCTGCCATGTACCACAAATGGACAAGTCGATGAGATGTTTAGGCAGAAATATCCGATTGTTGGTAGAAATAGAGTCTAAGAATACAGTTTCAGGCTGAATCCCAGCGCGATACAAGGAAGAGCACCTAGCCACCTGGGTTACTGGGTTGCTGAAAATTCTTCGACAGCCCACGAACGGTTTCGCCGTTCTTGGATCCAATCAGGTGAACGCATTCCTTGCGTTTCCAACAACCTAATGGTCTAGATAGTATGATGTTTTTAGAAACATCATAAATAAGAGATTCGGCTCGGTTGCAGTTGAATCTCCAGCAAAAACAATTTGGATGGCAAATGAGTGTATTTCGCGCCATTTTGTGTTCAAGTAGAACATAAAGTTGGCAGAAACACTGAGACTGCACTTACCTGATGAGCCCCAAGTAGGGCAAAACCGATCATGGGAAGTCGACGAATTTTCAGCAACCTTATGAGTAGTGCATTACGTCTATACATGCATCACGGTATATCGAATATCGTACCAACTTAAATACGTGGTGCAGCCCGTTCAACTGCTCAAAAACACCATAAACGAAAGATTCACCTGAGTTCAAAGTGAGTCCTCCGTAAAATCGAATCGGTTTGTAAATGGGGGTATTTCTCTTATGTTTGTTGTTCTCAACCTCGCAACATCCGGACAAATTAGATGAGGAACACAAGCACCTGATGTGCATTGTGAGCGGTCAAAGAGACCAAGCCAGCCGCGATGATATTGTCGCCTCACCTATACACCTGTTGTACCTTCAATCAATTTCTTTGGTGGGGGGCCCGGATTTTTTAGGGAAGAATCTTTTCCACAACGGTGATGATTTGTGATAAACTCAGTTCGCGACGACTGGGAGTTTTCGACACGATAGTAGTTGAGGAAGATCTACCTGATATTCCACAGTCACCTCTGGTTACATTATAGAATATTAATACCTCCAGAATGTAGCCTGTGGAGTCAACAACAGAGGTCTACATTGGAGAGAACGAAGTATGACAATGCAAGCTGGATTGACTGCACTGCACGTGCTAACCCACATATACAGTACTCGGTTTTATTCAGTAGTATATAGTGAAGTGTCAATTTTAAAATATTCGGCCGAGGTAGCCAAGCCGGCATCTTGTTTGCGATCCCTTATAGGGGCAGCCGTTTCCCAGATGGGACAAATGCTAGTGATGAGATAAGTCGCCCTACCTGCTGTAGAAATAAGTTCACAATATGTGCATAAGAATGGAATGTGGGTGTGTCAATCAAAAACTCACCGCTTGCCGTTGATTGCCACTACCCTCCCAACATTATTTACATCATCAGCACCGGTTTTTAATTTCACATGCACTGGAATCGAGTCATTTTGCTAAAAATCAAGTAGATTTAATCAGTAGTATATTATTTCCAAAAAACATTTGAACAAGGCTTTCAGCGAACAACGTTCTAAAGGGGAACTATTTTTTGTTTTGAAATGAACATGTAACTCGAACCTTTCCTCCCAAAAAAAGCAATATTCCCCCCCCCAAAAAAAAATTTTTTTCGGCGTTTTGTGACTTATATGGCCTGCCGGATCAAAGCAAAAAAGACCCGTGAGTTACACCTTTAATGTACAACCCAGTCCTTCCAGTCGCCAGCAAGCAAGTTCATGGTCACCAGCAGAACATATTTGAGTGAAGTCATTACAGGGTGATCGTGAGGGCTCTACGAGAATATGGAGGCCCAGAACACTCATTGTCTGACGAATGTTAGTCTTGGTGCTTTCGATGATTAGAGCTTGACTGTACAATCGAAATTTGAGGTGTGTACAGTGCTTTGGAAGAGTTAGTCGTGAGTTAGTCATGAAGTAAAATGAAGAACCATCTTTGAAGAAGTAGGAACAATTTGAGAAATACGCTCATTTGAAAATCGATTTGGTTTCCACGAGAGACTCAACTGGGCGGTCGAAGAGCTATCAGCAACCTTGTGGGTAGCTTCCATTGTGAAAACAGGAACAATTTGGTTATCGCCTGGAAGAGTGATCACGGACGAACTGGCTTGAACAGGAACACCAAAAAGTAGTTTTTGTCGCTCAAAAGTAAAGCATCTGACGAAAAATTTGACCGTGCACTTCATTCCGTGAGAAAAGGGACCAACTTTGGTGATCGTGTTGCGTTTGATTTGTCCACTGAGTTTGATAGTTAGCTATCGAAAGCTTCGCCAGTGCTTGTGGTTTCAAAAGCGCTGTTCGTTATCTTCAACCTGATATCTTGTCAGAATTTTTGCTCGGATGTAGTTCTATTGGTCCGCTTGGATTTCATAGTGTGTTGTGGTTCGATTTGCATAAATTTGGTTATTTTGTTTTGGTTCCGATTGGTTGATTTGCATTTGTTTTTGTTCGCCATCCGGCCTTCGGATTAGGGACTTGGACGTCTGCTAACACCGAGGGTGCAAGATCACTGGCTGCGAGCCCTCAGTTTGTACGAAGAACTGATTTCTGGATACAGTACGCTTGCCACGTTTTTGCTGAATGAGACACATTTACCGGCAAACTGTATGGCTCGTAAGCCGTGCGCTTCGTTCGTTTTTGGCCGTGGCGGTTGATGAATCTGCAGGTCACATTTTTCTTGCCTTTCCGGATAGTTCGACCGGATAAACAGGACAAAACGGAATGTTGGTCATTCGGACTGTATAGTATTGTTGCGCACCCGTGTTGAATGGGACTTATCTGCTTTCCTACCAGTAAAATGGGAAAAAGTCCTTTTTTTCAAAGTCCACTTTCTCTCTGGGATTTCCAGCTACGTAAAATGGACCGAGGAAAGACAAGTAGCCATCACAGCCACTCCAATAACTGTAGATTGACGATTCGACAGCGCGTCATTCCCTCAGGTTTTCTGATGAATATTACATACTTCTTAGTCACAATCCCAAAGGTTCGAATAGAAAGTCATTCCAATCTCTTTCCCAATGAAGGAAACTACTCACAATTTTGATGAAAACTCTTTGACAGCCCACGACCGTCCAAAGTTGGCGAAACCGGTCGTAGGCTGCGAACAGTTTTCAGCAACCTGGTGAGTAGTTCACTTCATAAAATATACTGCGATATCTCGAGTATCGTGCTAATTGGAACATGAGTGGGCCTGTGTGCAGCACATTCAGTTGTAGATTATTATAAACGAGAGATTCATTTGATTTGATTTGAAAATGGAGCATTTCAATCTCATTTACCTGTGAGCACTATTCACTGAGTGGTGTTCTTTTCTTTTCCCCAAATCACTTCAAAAGAACGCTCGTCTCTCAAGGATCCCTCAATTCTGGTGAACTCTTAACTGGGTTCAAGTCGCCCTCAAACCTTGCAATCCCGTGTGACGTTTCGACATCGCCCATTTTACTATAAAAATGAGGCTGACGTGAAGTTACATTGCTGCTTGAGAACAACTCAGGCCTTCGCTTTTAAGGTTGTCGAAACCCACTGTCCGGATTACGAAAACTTGAGCCAACTAATCTGTAGTTTGCATTTCTAATACTACTGGGTAACGGTGGATACTACTGATGGGGCATGCGAGTAGTATGTTTTCTAGTAAATCCCCTACGCGTCTCCTGAAAAGTGAGGTCTATCACGAAATTTGTGGAATCGCTTTGCTTGCATTTGAGAAGCAGTCAATGAATATCCAGGAAGATTCAAGGAGACACGCCCAAGGAGAAGATGGATATTCAGTTTTGTAAACAAGATGCAAATGAGAGTTTTGCTTCCCTGTCCAATAGTCTGTAACTGTTCATTTGGTGTTTCTCTAAGAAACAACTGTGCAGCGAAGGCCTTCTTCCGTTCACTAGTATCATCCTCGACAGCCGTTTTTCAGCGCCGATGAGGTAGCTGCTGGGTGCTCGCCCTTCATGTCCCCTTTAACGGTCTTCTTCAGATAAGAGTTAGGTTGATCAGCCGAGGATGTCATAACTATCATCCCTCCTCCGCCACTGTACACACCTTTAACTTGTTGAAACTCCAGTGTCCATGACTGGCGTGCCATATTTGAATTACTGTAAGTCAGTGTCCGGTAGTCTCGCATTGACCGCGTCATCATCATCATTATAGTCAGCTGTAAGAACAGCGTGCTTGTCGTAAAGTCGTTGTTACTGCCACAGTTTCGTTCACCCATGATTTGTGGAGTGCAAATCAATCCTAATATTTGGACGGATCAATAACTCAGATGCGGGAGCCAATCCACATCAGTTCACATTGTCTGAGTGACACATTTCTCCGCTAATTTGCCCTGTTGTCGGTCTGGTCGGCAAGCCATTCTGACCGGTCCGTTATCTCCTCACTGTGTGGGCTGGTTCATTCCACTTGATTGGCTGATTGGATAACCTCCGATTTCTAGTGGTTTTCTTTCTTTGATCCTATTGGTCGGTTGGGTTGGTGTCCTTTTTGCACACTGATTTTCGACAGTCTTTTTCTTGCCGCTGAAAACTCGTACGCAATGGACCAACTTACCTGAGCCTGAGCTCAACAGTTCACTTTTGTAGCCTTTGGGTTTTATTACGCAAAGTGAGTTCTGGAGGTGAGAACTATAGATAAGGGCATTCCCAATTAACAATGAAGACGGGCTTTCCAGTGAAAAATTCAATAATGCTTTTTTCTTACGCACAATATCTTGATGTGTTTTTCCTCAAGTGTGAAAAAGCGAAACATTTATGCTTGTCCAACTCATTCGGTGTACGACAAACAAGAATTTGAAATTTCTTGTGGTGAGTGATTGACTAATTCGCAAGTTACCTGACTACTTATAAGTAGTCGGAAAGTTTTGTTTGTCTGAGCCTCATAGCTGCCGGGCTTGGGATTTCACCACAGTTTGATTCATACAGATCACGCCGACAGGAAAGGCCAAAGCCCTTAGTTCATCTGCCCATCACCGATCAGATTATCCGTTATTTATTCTGTATTTACCTCAAAATCGGCATTTCAGAACCACAGTGAAACCGGAAATGTGACCTTGACATTCTCGTAGTCTGTTTAATCTATATCAAGCGGACCATATGGACCCTCCGGTTCGCTCTCTAAGGCTGCTGTCACAGGTTACTTCGCTATCTGTCAAGTCAGTTTCCGAATTCTGCTGGGAACGTACCTAACACTTGTTGTATAGTTCTATCGTAGCGTGAGCTCCAGAACTGCTGACCAATATCGATTTTTATGACACACAGTACTGCCGAAGGAATAGAAAAGTTACTCTTTTAGGTGTTATTTCTACAATTTCTGCCCATTTTTGCGCGGATTCTCTAATAGGACACAGAACAAAGGGCCTCTCCTGATGCCCCGTCATCACAGAATAAAAAACGATAATTGCATGAATGACACCTACCTGAGCGAAAAATCCCACCCTCAACCTGTCCGAAAATCCTCGCGGCATCTTTGTTTCCCAAGTGGCAGAATGCGCACTGAGGCTGACAAAAGGTGACTGTTCCGTAAGCACCGTGCGACCGATGTGACCGATTATGGACTGTAAGAGGGGGGTTAGACCATCAAGAGAATGTGTATGCATAATTTATAACTTGCCGTCCGCGTAGTGTCAGATTACGGACGGTTAGATAGGTTTGCGACATCCACCAAACCGCTCAAGTGTAGTGCCCGCCCCCGGACCAAGAAAGGTGACCAGACTGGCCCAAACGGTCTTAGTCTGGACTGGTCCATAATGAGAACAATCAGTTTTATCGACCTTTTGAACTTGTGACACATTGGCTGCACAGTGAAGGCTGGATAGCAGTATACTGAAGTGTTCTTCGAGCGACAAAACAGCGGTCTCCCTATAAAGAGGAAGGCTACAGTTTCACATCTGTCAAGAGCTAAAGGCATGAGAATCAGAAAATAAGGTCGCCGTTCTGGCTGACTCCCGTTTGACTACGAGTTACTTGCGTCACTGAAGGCCGACCCACTGTGTTCAGGCTACTAGCCGGTAGGTCGCGGATACAACATAATCGATTGTGTTTATCTCCGGCTCTCCACGATTACGCCAAGTCAGTGTACTTATAATTTCAGGCAACACGTTAACCAGGCTCTGAATTCGCCGCCATCAGTTTGCAATTCGATGTGGCCGAACCAACTACCTATAGCCGCACTCCTCTAGCGAGACAGCAACCAGGAGAGTTTACCTCTCAAAATAGGCGAAAGAGATCGCATCGTGAAAAAGGCCACTGTTCGCTTATCTCCTAGAGTGGTCCATTCCGGCAGGGACAAGTACACTGCCAGTCGGGATCATACCAGGTTTTTTTAATCTACTTGGACTTTTGTTGCGGAGTCACATCATATAGTGTGGCCAACGAGGACGTCTTTGGGGAATCATCCAGCGAATTCGTTCAACTCAGGCGTTTGTCCGAGTATACAGATTAGCTTACCGTGCGAAAATCTCTTTGGGCGACGGACTGGATGTCTCGCTAGAATGGTTGACCACCAAAAGAGCTATCCGGGTTTAAACCCCACAAAATGGGCGTCAAACACGTTATCGCCTGTCGAACAGTTTTCGGCAAGTGGTGTATTGAATCAAGAAAAGATCCTGTAACTCTAAGAATATGAGACAGTAGTTGCTAGTCCGCAGCATCGGTCCCAGTAAGGGCCGATATAGGAGGTCGAGAGGCAGAGGTTAAGCTCGAACCACGGACCTTTCGATCAATAAATTTCGCGCTCTGCCAACGGAGCCACTCGCCCACAAAATAAAATTAGAACATATACAGTTGCAAAGCGCTCGTTTCAGCTACTGAGAACTTGTCCAATTTGAAAATGAACATAGGTAAACAAAGTAAGTCCTTGAGTAGGATTCGAACCCGCGAACTCTCGACTACCGGACCAGTGCTTCGTCAAAGAGATCACAGCGAAAGTTGCGCCCCCCAACAAGTTAGTTCTCCAAGAATCTGCTAGAGATTTGGCTGATTGATTAACAGCAAACTTTATTAGTGTGTCCATCACGCGACCTTCAAAATGAGCATAAATGACCTTGAGATTTTAGCCTTGATTTGATGTAGAAGATAAGTTATTCGGATAATCTTGAATATGAACCGAGTTCTGGTAATCAGTGTATAGTTGGTTCGAGCCGAATTTCCGTTTGAATAATTTGTATCTTTGTCCCTGCAAAGGTGTGGTTAAAACATAAAGTCCTCACCTTCGGCTCAAGTTCTAAACGCGAGCATAAAATAACTAGCGGTTCCATAACTCCAAAGCGGTTCTGCTTATAAAGAGGTTACACCTTATTTTCATAGGGGAAACTACTCACAAGGTTGCTGAAAACTCTTCGACAGCCCACGACCGGTTTCGCCCTTCTTGGGGCTCATCAAGTAGGCGCAGTCCCCGAGTTTCCGTCAACCTTATTATCTACTTGAACCCGAACTGGACTGTTTTCGAGAAATACACTCATCTGCAAATCAATTTGGTTTTCATGGGAGACTCAATTGAGTCTCCATTGATTTTCAGATGAGTGTATTTCTCGAAGTTACACCTTAGTTCTCCAAGAAGGGCCTGCTGGATTTGTCCCTGGGCAGAGTCTTGTTTTCAGCACCTGTCTTAGACAGGCCGAGTAGATAAGTTCTCAAATTAATGCAGAGCTTTATAGCAGACAGACGACCAATCTGTTGGAGTTTCTTCTTCAATTTCAAAGCAAACGAAAGCAGCGCTGAATATCAGTTGAATGGTCTTGTTAGTTTGTGTGGGTCACCAATGGACTGCTTTGACAATCAAAGTAAAATATGTGGTAGATCTTATCGATTTTGCTTAGTTTTTTGTTCAAAACACCTGTGTGGAACGTTCTCTCCACAGACAGATGTGATGTCTTTACGACCAAACTAATCGATGATATTGATGCATAGATATTGATACGTAGATAAAAAAATTTAAGTAAACACTAACTTACTGCTTCCTGTAAAAGTGGGGAAGGCATGGATATATCGGTGAGAATTTAAAAGACTGTGGTATTTCTGAAAGATTTTCAGTTAGGTATTTTATTGTTGAAATGAGAAATTCACGTACACGCAGCATGAAATAAAAATACGCAACAACCAATTCATGCTGTCCGAACGAGGACTCTGTCTACTGGACTGCCTGGGACGTCTGCTTGTCGTCAAACCCAAGTCAGTCTCTTGTCAAAACTAAAGTGATATGCAGATGAGTGTATAACGTCAAAGTTCGTGCACTTTGGGTTCTCGTCGAACCGCAGGTTGACGGAAGTTCGGGGACTGCACTTAACTGATGAGCTCCAAGAAGGACGAGACCACTCGTCCTTCCTTTTGATTAGTGTTTTACGTCTGTACGATTTGGAGATCTTTCATCGCCTGGCTGAGCAAGCCCCCCTCTGTTCAGTTCCACGTAGACTGGGTACCTCATTCAAGAGAGCGATACTTGAACAGTAATCAGTCACATCTGGGCAGCAAGAATCAAGCAAGTGTGTAAGACCAAATCTTTGTTCTTCATGGTTATAACTTCCATTCTGGTGTGCAACTGGTTTTGGAGTGGAAATCAGGACATTTACCTTTGTGGTCTGTCATCAGGTGAACCTGCCATTATGTTGTAACTTGCTGAACGGTAGTACAATTCTGTATCTGTCCCTTGGCTTCCTGCTCCGCCCACTATGGTATATGAAAAGGCACGGTAGCTCTAAACAGCCTTTGTGGAGACAAAAGGAGAATAATTACATCTGTATTTATAGGGTAATCACAGTGTTCCACAAGATCACGCCAGAATCTCCGTGAGGGGGCGAGAAGCGTCGATCAAGGATGCTCGACCCATATTGGCTGGCATTCTGACCAATAAGAGCATGCCTTCGTTAGGTTCGTGTCCTGCACGTGACACATCCGTCCAAATGGTGGGAGGGAGGCTGACCTCTGAACACATTAACAACGCTGTGAAAACACGGGCTTAGTTCTTAGATCTTAGCTGCCCATTGTCGAATTTACGAGAAAGAAACTCTGTGTTGACAATGGGCGATCGATCAGAGCTCCGTAATTAAGTCACTGGAAGTGTGAGTAAACAGGTTTTTAAAATATACACCATGCCTTTTCGTCAAGCCGACAAATCAATATGGGAATCTGATCTAGAATTGCTTACAACTTTAGCAACTGGACCTCAAATTAGAAACAGCCTTACTTCGTGCAACTTTCAGTTCAGTTAGCCTGGTTATTAACGCCTCTCAAGAAATCGACCTTAAATCAACCCAAGCACTACCACCGTGATTGGTTAGGATATAAGCCAATCAGATTGAGGCTGTTTGGCAAGCTGCATTTCGCCCTAGAAGTAAAAACGGTGTTGCAATGTGTGGATAAATTTGCATTGCTCTCACTCACTGTCTTCCGCATCAAACGGACGATATAGTAGCCCATGGAAGTTGCACAATCACATCAAGTAACAGACTCGATGTTTAAAGAAACCGAAATGATTGTTTCAAAGAACATCAGAATAAACTTACACCAAAAAACAGATCCGGTATTGTCACGGTGACTTGCTTCGGGTCAGCAACCGATAGCTGAGGCTGGAAGATGTATCGCCTGTACTCTAGAAAATTGACAGTCTTGGGAGGGTTCTCTTCTGAAAAGGATATACTTCCAAACGTTCGGTTTTCTCTGTGAAAGAAGAACGCAGGAGTAAAAATCACATTCTGAGATCATATCCCGAAAGGAAGGCGGCAGTTGAATTGATCCTATGACATCTTGTCTAGTACGGAATAAAATTGATTGTTCCAAATCAGGTTGCTGTACTCTTTCAATTTGCGTCACCTGACCGCATTTGTCCATTGATTTCTTGTGAGAGATGAATGTCCAACTGCCTTAATTTGAAGGGAAATTAAACCCCCGCAGGCTGAGCGTGGGAGACGTGTTGATTTTTCGAGCATTTCTCAAACTACTGTCAAGTTAGGCAGTAATCTGACTATATAGCATAGATTGTCAGGCCAACTGCTGCAAAACTTTCCGTCCGATGTAGTCGGTTCATTTTGAATCATGTATACCACTTTCCAGGCATTTGGCTATACCTGCACACGCTTTTTTCATTTGTTGAAAAGTTTTACCGGCAAATTCCACAACAACTCCGCACTCCATCCACACACACACACACACGCCGTAGAACAGCCTGTGTTGACCTCTGCGTCCTAGATGTTCCTAGAAATCTGCATTTGTGTGCACCACGGACTGAAGATGAAAAATTTGGAGAAAATCAATCATCCTCGGCCAGGGGCGATTTCTACTTTGGAATGTTATTTGTCGTTCTAACTCTGCACAGAAAAATCACATTGACTGCTCAATGTCGTGGTGTATAAATCGATCATGAGCTTCCCGTTTGACTTAAGAAAATAGATTTCATTTGCTGCAGGTCCGACTTCGTGTTGGACGCCCCATCGTTTCAGCTGCGAATGCGATCACCTGGATCATTCACACCACTAAACATGAACGTTTTTCAGTCCGCAATACACTAATATTTAACGTTATACCCACTCAAGTATGTGCTGTTTGCTTACTGTCGTCAGTC